GAAAACAATGTATTCAGCTATAACCTTATAGTAGGGCTGTGTGGGCCTTGTCCTCACAACGATATTTAATATATAGATGACTATATCACAGAGCTCCAGATAAGCTTTTGGTGTTGTGGGTATTTTACCCATGCATTTTAAAATCATTGGGTATAAGTAATTCTATCTGGGTATTCAAATTTCTGTTACGCACTAGTTTTTACACATGTGGGTATTTAAGTTAAATATTTAAAAACACTATTCATCTAGGCCCTGCAAACTAGTTTCGTGTGGGTTCGAGAGCTTTATAGGACTCAAAATACCACGATACTTCCACAAGAAACTGTGATGGCAAATGATCATGATGTAACTGTCATCGTGGACGTTGGCAAGGTTGACGGAATGCCCGTTTATAATTTCAAAATAAGTTGCTGATTTGCTAATCGAATACGCAGGGTTACTTCACAATATTTTGATGATACGCACAAGTTTTATTTTGTAGCGTATCTGTAATGTTCGTTGCGTATTTGATACACTTTGATTTGATTTTACTGCGTATTTCTGCATTTCTGATGCGTATTTTACGCAGATACGCAGCTTATCTGGAGCTCTGTATATCGTTTTAAAGGGGTTATGCTGACCACAGCATAGATGCGAAAAGTAGAGCTACATATTTATAGAAGCTTTTACTATTAATTCTGACCAGTGGATGCCGGATAGTAAAACCGTTGCAGTGTAGTACGATGTCATCGCTTTTGTCCTTGCCACTTGAAATAGGATGCTAATACTTATAAAGTGAAAACAAGCCATTCCGCCGATGATGAATATCACTTACAGTAATGCCAAAAATTGCAAAGTGCCCTTTTCAAGACATGTCCATTTTCTAAGCAATAAACATCACCATTGAGTTTTGGTTACAATCCGGGTAAGATTCGAATGTCAGGTGACTGCGAGTGGTTATATTTAGCAGCGACCTTGGTTAAGGGCGCTTTAAATACTGGCTTCCAGCGTTCCCGTTTACCGGTAATTACCAGTTTTTTACCGATACAATTAGGCTTGGACCGGTAATTCATATGACTGCCAGTCCCTGTGGACCGGCAAATAAAGTACCTAATAATTTTTAATAATATTTTTATTTGTTGAAAGTATGTACTGGCAAAAGTTAGGGGGGAGTGGTAATTTTTAGAGTTGCCAGTCCCCAATGACTGGCAGTTTCAAAAGCCAGTGAGAACACTGACTACATTTGTACTTTTTTATGTTCATGGATATCGTTATCGTTGCTATCCATACAAAATACATTTTAAGAGACAGATACATCATCTGTTGCTAGGTCTTAACCAAAGACATATATCATATACGTCTTTGGCCTAATTGTTCTTCACTATAGATCACTCTCTGGCGAGGGTCTGGTGTCGCTTAGTGTTCCAAGAGGACAAACAAAGTTACCTCCCTTTTCTATATTTAAGATTTGAAGTTATCTGCATATCTCTTAATGATTGTCTGTTTGTTGTTTACCGCCGCACTCAGTAATGTCCCACCTATATGACGGGGTCTGTAAATAATCAAGCCTGGACCAAACAATCCAGTGATTGACATCTTGAGCACCGATTTACGGAATTGGGATACGATGACATGCATCAACCAAGTCAGCAAGCCTGATCAGCTGATCCCGTCAGTCGATTCTTACGACAAGCATGGATTGATGAAGATCAATTCTAATCCGGATCTTCACGGGTTGCCCAATCCGGTGGCCTCTTACGACCAGCAATTGGGTGTTGAGGACACATTCTACCCCGGGTCCCCACTTATTGAAACGCATAATCGATATCATGTTTAAGTCTGTTTGCTATCCCTTACAAGTAGGCATTACACAAATCGAAGGCTGTGGTCTGTCGGGCACTAAAACAGTGCATGTAAGCTTCTCGAATAAGGAAACAGGAAACGGTCATTGGAAGCTCCGCAGACCCGAAAAACGATCTGGCATTTTAAATGTTGTCCATTGGACCCAGATTTCACACCTTAGATCTTGAACGCTTTGTTTTGCACGTTCCTTTTATTTCTTATTATACCTACACCAAATATCAGAAATATTCTTGAACGGTATTTTATTCTTCCCGTCGAATTTGTCAACACGTTCAGTGATAAAAAAACAAACCAAAGTGATGGATATTTTAAGGTAATTACTTAATTGTCAATAAATACAGAAAAATATATTATAGTAATATAATAAATATACAGAGTGTAATACGGTATTTGTATTTTTATTTAATATGATTTTATTTCATTCTACCGAAAAACACTCTACCTAAATACAGCAATAACAAAATGTCTGTGAAAGGCCTTATTGTCTAACTCCCTTAGGACGTGGAATGGAAGGGGCTGGTTGTTTTATGTGTTATGCGGTATAGAAAGAGAGACTACAGCACAGTTGCCTATTTTGTTATTTTGTATTCATAGTTGGCTGTCTTACAGTCCCTGAACCATAGTAGTTTCACTTTCGCCAAGGCCTTACTGCAATACTTTCGTCCTCGATGAAGCAAGTCTAGATTTTCTACAGGTTCTTCAAGTCCCATCTCACTGGGGTTCATTTTCAATTAAAATGTAGTTGCTATCAAAATTATATATTTTTAGAGACTATAAGAGTTTGTTTATAATCACAGGTACCTGGAAAATAAAGCAGACATAGATAGCGTTCATGTCATATGCTTGTTGTAAGACAATATCAGAATAGGTATCGGGTTGTCCAAATTATCCGTTCAGAGGCAGCAATAGAGAATTTTACAGCTGCTTCAATGCATTTTTCAGAATTGTTCACGTGAAGACAATTCTTACTCCATGTTTCTGCACAACTAATCTCCATGTCATTGTTTGCTAACCCTTATAGTCTATTGCAATCAGAAAAAAATCAGTGTGAACGAGCACTGCCTTAAAAAGTGTACGAGGTATTCTCAATCCGTATCCGTTGAAATGTTCTGGTGACTTTTTGTACAACCCCAACTCTCAAAATGGCTGCCGATGAGTTAGGAGAGGTAAATCAACTTCGAAAACTATTGTTCTACATGAAGTGCGATGATTTTTTGTCATTTTGTTTCCTGCTATGTGATCTCCTGATAACTAGTACTAGTTGGTGTATTGTGTTTGTGAAATGGACAACCCTGTTTGACACATGAGCAATTTCAAGTGAAATCTAATCCAGATTGTATTTCTAATACTTCTAAGATAAAATCAGAAACTCAGTGTTTCTTGAAATAAGACCTAATTATTTCTTTTTAAAGGTTTCGAATTTATAAGCCATGCGTGCGTGCGTCATGTAGCATATGTTATTTATGAGTAGATGGGCGAACAGGTGAACAGCAAAGTACTGATTACGATATAGCCTAAAATTATGAATATGTGTCCTCACTTGGCGAGGCTTCGGTTTACCAGGCACAACTGTTTAGGGCTAATTTGCAGCAGCTATGAATCTCCCTGATCTTGCGTGCCACTTTGATCCTTTGGGTTAGTAGTATGTAGGTTACCAACTATTCTCTCCACTCCCTTGGATGCCCTTGGGTAGCCTAGTGGTTTAAGCGTTTGTTTGTCACGCCAAAGACCCATGGTTCGCTTCCCCACGTTGGTACAATGTGTGAAGGCCATTTCTGGTGTCATGATATTGCTGGAATATTGCTAGAAGCGACTTAAAACCATTAGGTGTGAAACAATATAGCGGTTCATCACGAGTTTTCATGCCACGATACGAGAAACGATATGTTTTGTTCTGTATAGATATAAGACGATACACTTGCTAAAGTAAATTATTTAGCTGGTTTTCTTTAACTGTAGTACACATGGTACAGTGATGACCATAAGAACACATACAATTTTATGGATACAACTTCTGGTTTCTTGCAAAATGTAAGAATCTACATCAAACGTAAATACATCGAAAATTAATAAACCAGAAGTTTTCATCTATAATGTTGTTGCGTTTTCTTATTTGCTCACCAATTTCTAGAATGATAATGAAACAATTCAAAGCTTGATGATTCATAAACCACCTCTAAAATATTTATGTTTCAAAAGTTTCTACGCGATTTGACGTGAACATGGTGATTACATGTATGTGTATTGCAATATGTAGGGTATCATGGTCCTTGCTGTATTGTTTCACACCTAAAAACCATACTCACTCACCCTTTACGATCAAGCACCCTTTTATGATCATTAGGGTCAGGAACCCCTTTTCCGATTAACACCCCTTTGTGATCAAGTGACCCTTTACGATCCTCAGGGTTAATTGTGAGTTAAGGTAGGGATTAGCTATCTCACCTTTTTCTCACCAATTTGAGGTAAATCTGCATATCAAGTTTCATGGGAAAGAAGTGGCTGTGCATATAGGATAACCTATACAATAAGGTGCTGATCACAAGGCAAGTGAGCACCAAATATATGCCCCTGTAGTTAAGTGTTTGCTAATCAACATGCTAATTCAATTAAATTGGATTAACTCAATAACAAAGCTTAGCTGTTGACAAATTGTTGTTGTCAATCTGGCAACATGAGGTCATTCCTCCACTACTCAAGAGTGAGTGAGTCAATATTTAAAGTAACATCGGCAATATTTCAACCATATCGTGACAAGAACATTAATGATCCATAAAATTATACTACTAAAAATCTGTCAGTGATGGACATAATAATAACTAGATTATCACAGTTTACGTTTAAAACTAGTTGAGAACAAGTAAAAGAATAACCTAAAATTCAACATTACATAATAAAAACGGGCTATAGATCACCAGCAACCAAATTGTGGCCACCATACTAGGGACTGTGGGGACTTACCATACTTCTGGTACCTGCAAGGTTCCCCAGCAGGATTCACTACTCAGGAGGTGCTATTTGAAATACAAATAAAAATCTGCTGCGTATGTTGCAGTACTCCCCATCTCACATTTAGCCTTCCCTTCATATTGGTCATCAGTGGTCATTCACAAACTGATGCCAATGCAACATTGTAATCATTGTTCATTTATTGACAGCAAGTGCAGTCAAGCCAATCCCAGCCAGGAGTTGGAAGCACCAACACACTGTCCATGAGGGAAAAGTCGCATATGAAAAGAAGAGTGAATAAGGAGCACAATAGCAACTTCCGAGCTGGCTACATCAACATCAATGAGGAATACCTACACAAGACTGGAATAAGAGGAAGAAAGCGCTACTTCCTGTACTGCTTTGTTGGTTTCCTTGTGTTCCTTGCCTTGCTCAATGCCTTGGTAAGGCAAATATAAGAAATATATTAGAAATGGTTTGGTCGTTCAGTCACTAAACCATATTCCATGTAACTCATTAGAGAAATAGGCCTGTGAAGATCTTGGTTAGATATGGTTAGCATTGGTCTTCAGCAACCCATGTTTCTCATAAGACACAACTAACTAAAGGAATGGGGGTGGTCAGGCTCGCTGGCTTGGTTGATGCATGTATCCCATGTAGATCAATATTCATGAGGTCATTCACTGGATATCTTTCCATTAGGTTATGATTTGCTATTGTCTTTCGGATTTGTAAAAACATTTATACTAACAACTTGAAGTAATGTATCAAAAAAGGGGAGGGTGAGACATATGTTATTGACTATAAGCCTGGGGATTATGGTCACATCAGGTTGTCTACCACTGTGCACTGTAGGATTTAGCTCATTTCCTCATCTCTGATTGGCTGCAGGTCATAATTGTTTTGAACCCTAAAAGTGACTGTGTTACAATATCTTCCTTATCCTGCAAACTTTGAAAAGTTTTCTAGATTGAAAATGAAAACTGTAGGTTTGTAAACAAATGATCATGGAACTGGCAAACTCTTCAAAACAGCCCCCAAGTGAGACATTAGTGAGGTTAAAATAGGCAACCTATCCTGATCATAAGAGGCGAATAAATGGATTGAGTCGTCAAGGTCGACGTCTTGGTTGATTGTGTGTAATCGTACAGGACGGCCTGGGTCATTGCTCAATATCAATAACTGGATTGTCTGGTCCAGATTCGATTCTTTGCAGGCCACCGTCATATAGATGGAATATTGCTGAATGCGGTAATAAAACAAACAAATCAAAACAGCTACCAGTTTTAACATTTTGTAAGCTTTTGGATCCTGGAATCCTTGTGACATTTGAGAGTCATTCAACACCATGTGTTACCAAATAATTGAGAACTGTTGTATCATATTGTGAATGTGGATTCCAAGTAAGGTACAAGATTGCTCATAGACTATCTTGAACACAGGTTCTTTAGAAATTATTGTTATCCCCTGATGAGTGATAGATGTTTTGCAAGGGCGGGGGTATTAAAATGTATACCATACATTCGTGCAAGATGTCATTTACCGTAGCAGATCTTGAAAACCATGGCAACAACTTGACTTAGACTGGAAAAGGCGATAGTGCTCGTTCCGGAGCAGATCTTGACAAACGTACAATATTTCTTCACAAAACTTGGCACATGTATAGACAGGTCAATTGGTAAACGGTTCATTTTAACAGTTTGGGATTTTTGAAAGATCTATTTTTTTAGTTTCCATAGCAACAACTTTGACTTAGACTGAAAATGGCAGTAGTGCTCATTTCCAGAGCAGATCTTGATAACCATGTAATACTTCTTCATTAAACTTGGCACATAGATAGGTCTTCTTTTTTATGATTTGGGATTTTGGAAAAAAATATTTTTCGACTTTCCATGGCAACAACTTTGACTTAGACTGAAAATGGCAGTAGTGCTCATTACCACTGATTACCAGAGCAGATCTTGAAAACCGTACAGTGTTTCCTCACCAAATTTGGTACATTGATAGGTCTAGTGGGGAACTGGTGCCTTTTGATAGATTGGGAAATTATAAGAAATTTATATTTTGAGTTTCCATAACAAAAAGGTTCATATATTTATCCACAACTTTGTTCTCTTGTTCATGTTGTTTGTATTTCGTATTTTGATTTGTAGGTCACAGCATGGCTGGTATACAAGTTCAGGATTTATCATATTGGGATGAAGCCAATGGAATTTGTTTCTGACAACAATATGCTGCGATTCTTGGAAGAATCTGAAGTCCGAGTCATCAAAATGTCCAATGCACGGCTGGGGGGTCGATTTGAAAAGGATCTATACATCGTTTCTAAAAATAGCACAGTAAGCACTGGGTTTGAAACTCCTTGTATTAAGGTACCAATAACACGGTTACGATAAGTCCCCCATTAAGCATGTAGTGGGCACACATTATTTTTATATGAAGCTATGAAATATATTGGACATAAAATGAGGAATATATGATCAAACTCAATGAACAAAATTTGAAATTATTTTCTTTGAAAAGTATTCTTCTTGTTAGCACATTCAAATTCGAAAGGGGACACTGACACTTCCTTAACAATGCCCTTTGTGCACTAGAACAAAGGTATGTTGTATTTCTATCCATGAAGCATTAGCCCCAAGATGTGCATTAACTGTGGATTAGAGGGAGATTTCATATTATTTTAAGAATATTCTTATTAGATCAGGTAAACATAGATCATGTAGATATTATTCCTACTCTGTTAAGCATACTAAGACTATCATGTTTATCACCTTGATTACAGAAACAGTTTGAATATGACTGCAAAATACCAGCCTTAGACATGACAAGTGCTTGCTCAACTGCTGGTATTAAATTATGCAAATACATCAGAACATACATAAATTGTAGATCTCAGCCTAATCAATATTTTAGGTTTGGGCAGTTTATCATGTTTATTGTAGAAAGTCAGTGACTTTAGCATTGTCATTGTGCCTGCAATTGTGATGATGAGGCTATACTTAATCGGTCTCCCCTTTCAGATGCTGATTGGTGCTGAGAACATGCGTGGATCAGTCTGTGAGTGTGTTATTGATTCTTAGTTTTCACTGTGAAAACGCTGCTTTTGCAGATTGCCATGATCATTGATATGGGGTGGTGGCATAGACTAGAGGTTAAGGCGTTTACACGTCATTCTTAAAGCCTATGTTGAATTCCCCACATTGGTACAATATGTAATGTCCCTTTCTGGTGTCCCCCATCATGATATCACTGGAATACTGTAAAAGGTCTTGTTACTTGTCGGACTGTACCCTGCCAATTATTACAATGACCTATCATAAATGTTTTGAATGTCTCAGTGCCTCACTGTCAGGCTTTGGTTATATTTGTCAGTTGACGGTTTGTTTTGTAAAGACAATGCGACAATGTCCCTTTCTAGAATTCCGTGGGTAAGGCTGTTCTTATAATCTTTATAACTACGGCTCGTGAACTAATTAAGGCATGAATGGGAACTATGGTCTTATGAGTGTTGTTGGATTGGTACTGTGCTGATGATGTGGATAGTTGCTCATATGGAGGTGTCCTCCGATCTTCAAACAAGGCCACGGGTTTGGTATTGGAGGAAAATATCTGATGGGAATGAGATTGAAGGAAATTGAACAGGACCTGTGAAGATCGGGTAGAGAATAGGTCTTCAACAACCCATGCTTGCCGTAACAGGCAACTATGCTAAGTTGTAAGAGATGACTAAAGGGATCAGGTAGTCTGGCTTGCTGACTTGGTTGATGCATGTTGATGCATGTCAACTGCTACAAATATGTGGATTCCGGATAAGTTCCCCAACACCCTATGCTTGTTGTTGTAGTAGACTAACATGGGGATTGGTGGTCATGTTTTTTTCACTTGGTTGATTGTGTGTCCTGACTTGGTTGATGCATGTCATTGTATCCCAATTGCGTAGATCGATGCTCAGGATGTCAGTCACTGGATTGTCTGGTCCATATTCAATTACTTATAGACAGCTGTCACATAGCTGGGATATTGCTGAGTGCGGCGTTAAACAACAAACAAACAAAAGTAATTGAACAGAAAACTGAACATTGTGAAAGGTGATTATATCTTGTTACATTTACAGTGAAGCTGAAAAAAGGCCTGACCAGAATATCAAGTGATTACTTCATAGTCAAGGGAAAAAACTCCAGTGTCAATTTGCTGCAGACAGGATATGAAGGAATGGAAGTTCCGCTGAAACATGCCAAGAATCTCCATGCCCTCACAGTCCAAGTGGGGAAGGTACCATGAGTGTCCATGCATGGTGTTGTCAACCAGTCCGTAGTGACCAACAAGGAGGCAGTAGTTGTTTACCCATGCTGCATGATGGAATGCACTATATTAACAATGTTGACAGGTACATCTCATTACTTACACTTTACTGTGCTTGTTAGCTAAGACATGAAGCATGATTGTTTTTGAGTGATGCATGTATAGTTGATAAGTGAATACCCCTTCTTAGAAATCTAACCCCTAGGGAGTCAAGGAAAGATTTGATCGTCAGAAACATGCTGGTCGCACAAGGCGACTTAATGGATCAGGTTCAGTGTCTTGGTTAACTGTGTGTCATGGATATGGCATGGCATGTTGCTCCTATCAATCATTGTATTTTCTGGTCCAAGACTCACATAGCTGGAAAACTGCTGAGTGGCATTAAACAACAAACAAACGATAACAAGATGCTCTTCTGGTCTGGACCCTCATGGTAATTCATGTTCTCACGACTCTGTGATTGATTTAAGGGCTGACTAGAATTCTTATCAATTTTGATTTGTATCAAACATGTTTAAAAACTTTGCTTTGGGTTGATTCTATTGATGAACAATACATCTCATCTGTAGTTTGCCATACCTGTAGTTCAATTTCTTTTGATACAGTTATTTTTTCTAGCATGTGGTCTTCAGCAACCCATGCTTGTCGTAGACATTGTAAGAGGTGACTTTGCTTGTCATAAGAGGCGACCAACAGGATCGTGTTGTCAAGCTCACTGACTTGGTTGATGCATGTCATCATGTCCCAATTGCATGGATCGATGCTCATGATGTCAGTCACTGGATTATCTGGTCCAAACTCGATTATTTACAGACTACCTTCATATAGCTGGAATATTGCTGAATGCGGTGTTAAACAACAAACAAACAAATTCTAGCAACAGTCCAATCCTGAAACTTTGCGAATGACCAAGCCTGACATGTTCAAGTTTGCACAGGGGGCATGAGTGACCCAGTCGTCTAAGGCGCTGCAATTCGCTGTGCAGAGTTGCGTCCCTTGGGCACACCAGAAACCTATGATTGTGGGTTCGAATCCTGGTTCAGCGCGATTATGTTTCTAGGTTTGTCAGCACCATACCCATCCTTGTGGGTTAAGTGGTAAACGTCTAAGACCTGCATCACTTCGAGCTTTCCTCCCACATTAAGCTGGCATGCCATGATATAACTGGAATACTGTTAAAAGTGGCGTTAAACCCAACTCACTCACTCACTCAAGTTTGCACAAAGGCAGATAACACTCATTTACTCATTGCTGCTGAGTGCCATTAAAATCATTAAAAGCACCTGCTTGGAGAGTGGTAGGTCAGTCGTTCGATCCCTGTCTGCATCATACAAAAAGACGTTGAAAGATCCTTGTAGAAATAACATTTTTTGTCCACAAGGCCTTATAATGATAACATGAAGCAAAACCTTAAAAAATAGTACATTTCTACAGTCCTTATGATACCTTAACTATTGGGCAGTTTGGCAAGGACTACATGACTATTGCCAATTTCTAATGGTGAAGATAGTAATTGCTGTTGCCCTGGCTACACATAGCTTAAGGAGATAAAACGAGCTGGTCGCATTGGAGTCAGTATAATATGTCTGAGTGGCATAACCATGTTAAACTGCATCTTGGAATGTGACGTTAAACCTCACCTCAGCTGCTACAAGTATCTGGATTAGAATAGTTCCCAAACACCCCATGCTTGTTGTAGGAGTAGACTAACATGGGGACTGGTGGTCACGTTTTTTCACTTGGTTGATTGTGTGTCCTGACTTTGTTATCCCCCCGACATATAATGACGGGGGGATATAGCCATCAGTACGTCCGTCTGTCTGTCTGTCCGTCTGTAATCATTGTTTGTCCGGAGCATATGTCCTAAACCGTACAACCTAGCTTCCCAAAACGTTATTTTTGTCGTTTCCATTGAAATATGATGAACTCAGGAAATTTGAGGGTAGTGCTCTTGTCCGGAGCATATTTCCTAAACCGTACAACCTAGCTTCCCAAAACTTGGTACGCTTAACAATCAGGCTCAGTGGAAGTGACTTTTGCTATTTAGAGATTTTTAGAATTTTATATTTTTGTCGTTTCCATGGAAATACATGTAAATGTAAATGTATGATGAACTTAGGAAATTTGAGGGTAGTGCTCTTGTCCGGACCATATCTCCCGAACCATACAACTTAGCTTCTCAAAAAAAATTACGCCTATCAAGCAGGTTATGAAGTGATCCTTTGCTATTAACAGATTTTTTCTTTTTTTTTCTTTTTTCAATTTAAATTGAAAATTGATGAACTTAGGGTAATGTCCTCGTCTGGAGCATATCTTCTAAACCATGCGACAGAGATTCACCAAACTTTATGCACATATCAATCATGTTCACTAGTAGTGCAGTTTGTTATTTATAGATTTTAATCTTTTTAATTTGTAGCCCCTGACATATAATTCTAAGGTGTACTATTTACCGATATCATATACTATATATGATGTGAGCTACATAACCTAGTACATTCTCTTTATGCCTTTGTGTCATGAGGCTACTACAGAGCTGATCATATGCGAATCTGTGAAGTTATTTTTATTACAGTTTCATGAGATCATCAGAAAGTGAGCTACATGAACCAATATTTAATAACCTTCATTATATTTCTAGTTTTGGCATCAAGGTAAAAGATTTCCTTGCCAATCTAAATACATTTGAAGGTACACAGTTTACCGACATGCCACGTCGGGGGGATATGTCATCTTCGGATGACTCTTGTTGATGTATGTCATCGTATCCCAATTGCATAGATCGATGCTCATGGTGTCAATCACTGGATTGTCTGGTCTAGACTCCATTCTTTACATGCCACCGTCATACATCTGGAATATTGCTAAGTGCGGCTAGTATGATTGTGTGTCAGTGCACCATGATAGAGTGGATGGTTGCTCAGGATTTCAGACACTGATTTGTCTTGAGCAAGCCCTTAATGACAAGAAGCTGTGAAAAAGATAAATATTGTGGCGCTAAACAACATTCATTCTCTCACTCTTGTCTTGGCTGAATTCATGGCCTTGTCTACATTGAACCCACTGGTTGAAGTACATGTGTTTTGTGTGTTTTGCAGCTGAGAAGTCGAGAAGGCTACCAGGACATTGTGTTTGAGTCCCAGAAACAGATCAAGGTGGTTGGATCCGAGGGAGTGCAGGTGGAGAGTGGCAAGAGTGTCTTTGTCGAACCCTCGAACTCTGTCAACCTAAACGCTTCAGTGAGTACAGCATTGATGCCTCCTTGTTGGATGTTGGATAGCTAGTATCCTGCTTATAAGAGATGAATGATCCAAGTATTTCAGTTCTGTAAAATGTCCAGTAAAATAAGCACACAGGTGGTCTAAGGTGGCTGTGTTGTAAACCTAAACTGTCAAGAATCAGCTTCCCAGATTTATGATCCTCGACCTGTCTGCACTTTGCAGAGGCATTGGTGGCTACGGTGCCACATTTTGCTGTGCAGAGTTGTATCCCTTAGGTGTTTCAGAAACTTTTGATTGTGGCATTGAATCCAGACTAGAGCTAGGACCCAGGTACCCGACCCCCTACTACCCGCTGTGGGTCTCACGAGTTGTTACAAAATGTTGGTTTGGGAAGGGTTTTATAAAACGATCGGATCATGCATATACTGAAGTTTTATCTTTACTCAACTTGCTCGAACATGTACAAGACAATGCGAACATTAGAAAACCAAGGTGCTATCATGATATTTTTGTTATTAAACAAAATATCAAGTGACTAACCTCTGGTCCAGGTTGTCCTGTGGGTACCCGGATCCTACTCAGTACCCACTCGACCTGAACCCGTGAAGACCCGGGTAGAATAGGTCTTCAGCAACCCACAAAACACCGAGAACAAACAAAGGTTCCCGAGATCCCTGTCCCAGAGGAATGAGTGACCCAGTTGGCTATGGCGCCACATTTGTCTGTGCAGAGTTGTGTCTGTTATGTGTGTCAGAAACTTATAATCGTGGCTTTGAATCCAAAATTTGCCACAATGATGTTTCTAGACTTGTCAGCATCATACCGGTGCATGAGGATTTGACAAAGACCTGCATCACTTCAGGCTTCATCCCATGCTGTGAGATAATTAAAACTCAGTTCAAAGCATCATTAAATTCAAAACTCACACACTCAGCATAATGCCCATGGTTGCAAGTTTCAGAAAAATTGTCAATGTGTACAACCTGTATCACCTTGGCCCTTCCTCCACAATAAGCTGTTGCGATAGAATGTCTACAGCTCAAAAGAAGTTAAAGACCACCAGATTCTTTCATACTACTATAGTTAATCTGGCATATAGAATAGATATGTTAAGACTACAAAATTAACAAAACAGATATATGTTAACACCAATGCCATGTAAGAAATAAATTTGTCGTAGGCTAGATATTGTTGGTGGTTATTAGGCATTTTATTAAAATTATGGTTGTTGTTTTTAACAGGATGGCTCAATTCACTTTGAGTTTGGGAGCAACATCTATCTGAACCAGAGTTTGCCAAGACTGTCCCCAGGGTACCAGATTGACACAAATCTTATCATCTACAAACTCTGTGTTTGTTTTGACAGTGGGAGAGTGTTTCGTGTTCCGATCACTGGACCCAACTCAGGTTGCAATACATTGAATGAAAATCAGAACCCTTGTGATTTGTAACAGGTGCCTGTCCACAACCCTCCAGCTTTTTTTTATCTTAATCAATGCATAGTTGTTGGTATGTATACATTGCAGTTTGCAAATGTGATATTATTATGTCCATTTTCTCACATGAATAAGCTGCTACAAATATGTTTGGCTTCAGCCTCTGAATGAAGAGGCATAGTGTTATTGATGGTCAAGGGGTAATTTGAAGTTTATAGAAAGAAAGCTTATACAAGATGGGGGTCTGTACAGCATGAAATATGGCCTTAAATGATTGTGATAAGCTATTATTATTATTCAGTACATCCATCTTATGCTAAGGACACACGTTATTCACAGTACCACTACCTTTGCTGGAGGTTATCACAAATATTTTGCAATTGTTTCATTCCTAGTTCTGTCTTAAGGGCGGAGGGGTAGCCTAGTGGTTCAAGTTATCTTACTCCACGCCAAAGGCCCAGGTTCGATTCCCCAGTCATGGGTACAATGTGTGGAGCCCATTTCTGGTGTTCCCCGCCGTGGTATTGCTGAAATATTGCTAAAATTGGCATAAAACTATCCTCACTCACTAGTTCTGTGTTAGACTGAAGTATGTATCTGATGTGGGTAGGTTTGTTACATTAATCAATTTAATTAGCACCCTTTTATTAATAATCTTACTTGGTTAAACAAAAGGAGAGCTAATCATGTTGATTAAATTTATGATATTTATACAAAATTATAAATATGTTTTTGATATCATATAGCATGATATATATTAAACTTTTTATCAATGTTTATATTTATATATGATAACACTGTTACCATGGACACTGATCATGTGAAATAAAATCTATATTCATACATATGTATTTGTCTGCAAGGTATATGTAATCCGTCCATTAGTCAAACATGATGCAGATTTGAGCTTATAATTCTATGCCTTACTCATTCATTATGTTAATTTATGATATTTACATATTAAATGTCCAGTGATATCTAGAGTTTGATATTTCTCATGCTGATTATTTTTCAAGACATTTTTGTACCAGCTATAATTTTTGACATCATGCTGTAATGACTGATACATATGTTATGTCAAATGTATTAAAAATGATAATAGCTTTATTTAATATCATATTATGATTATGATTATGCCATTTCTTTTGTTTAGAGTGAGTTCACATTCACAAACTTTCACCAAAGTTAACAACTGCAGTGTTAAGAACTGCAGGTGCTTTGCTGGCGTGTACCGAAGGACCATGTTTTGAACTGATCTACCATATTTAACATATCAAGTGCCTTGGAGGCATGAACAGATTGCAAAGTGGTTTTGAAATGAGTTATTTATCAAATGAATGAACTAAGTCTGAAATTTAGTTAGAAATGAATTATTAATGAAATAACTAAGTCTGAAATGAGTTAATAATCAAATGGATGAACTAAGTCTGAAATGAATTATTAATCAAATGAATGGACTAAGTTTGAAATTAATTATTAATCAAATGGATTCACTAAGTGAGAAATGAATTAATATTCAGATGGATGAACTAAGTCTGAAATGAATTATTAATCAAATGGATGCACTAAGTCTGTCCATAGCATATTACACGGGTATTTTTAACTAAACAGTGAACTAGATGAATGTTCAGAGTTAATGCAGGGAAAGCCAAATGGGTTAAACATATGCCCTTCTCTCTATAGACCCAAATTCAGTTCTGCATACATGTGAGGCCCATTTCTGGTTCCCCTTCTGTGGTATTGCAGGAATATTAACAAAGTAGACACAATTAATGTATAACTTCTTTAATTACTATAAAGGCGATGTTTCGGTATAGAGCCTTATTCCATTTGTCATCCGTCAACTTCTAAGTAATTCCTATCAAACAATGCAGGAATACTGCTTAAAGCTGCATTTAGCCATACTTAAGGCTTGAAAAAATAAAAGAATTGGTTCTCAGGCAATGGTTTTTGAAAATATAGTGCGGGTGGGCGGTGTCTTTTTTTGGGGGGTGTGGGGGGGGGTGTGGGGGGGGGGGGGGGGGGGGCGTTCAAACTAGTATGTAACCAAATGAACAGTTGTTTAACCAAATAAACAGTTGTGTACAGGAAAGGGCCTCTCTACATAAATGTATTACTTGATGAGTAAAATACTGGAATACAGTATTTCACTACCATTGGACATTGAATATTTGAGGATGATAAAAAAATTTAAATAAAAAGGAAACAAGCGAAATTTATGATGATGCGGGCAGTGGCTGAGAACCAAAACATTTTTGGTATATTAGCCCAATCTAATCTCTATATTTTAATGAGATTGTACTTACTGTGAGTTCATATGGGCAGAATTAATACTCTGTTGACTCAGTTATACTTTTGAAGACAATTGAATGAATGATACTTTCGTCATGGCGTTCAACTTCAAGTTTGTAAAAAGTAGGTCCCTGCATGAAGGTGATCTTAGGTTTTGAGAAGGTTTTATACACACTCCTGCGCAGTGGTGACTCAGCATAACACCACTGCCAAAGGCTAATTTGCATATCACATGACTGGACTTTTCTCTTGTTTGTAAACAAACACGCTTTTTCAGAAATCAGTATAGAACGGATAAATGCAAGTATTTGGGGGCGCTTAACATATTGTTTTGCATAATTATATAGATATGCTACTACAACTGCAACAGTGAATTTAATGACAATATATATTTATACATCAAAGTGACCCAGAGCTCCAGATAAGCTGCGTATCTGCGTGAAATACGCATCAGAAATGCAGAAATACACAGTAAAATATAATCCAAGCGTATCAAATACGCAACGAACATTACAGATACGCTACAAAAATAAAACTTGTGCGTATCATCAAAATATTGTGAAGTAACCCTGCGTATTCGATTAGCAAATCAGCAACTTATTTTGAAATTATAAACGGGCATTCCGTCAACCTTGCCAAACTCCACGATGACAGTTACATCATGATCATTTGCCATCACAGTTTCTTGTGGAAGTATTGTGGTATTTTTGAGTCCTATAAAGCTCTCGAACCCACCCGACACCAGTTTGCAGGGACTAGATGAATAGTGTTTTTAAATATTTAACTTAAATACCCACATGTGTAAAAACTAGTGGGTAAAAGAAATTTGAATACGCAGATAGAATTACTGATACCCAATGATTTTAAAATGCATGGGTAAAATACCCACAACACCAAAAGCTTATCTGGAGCTCTGGTGACCGTATCTCTAACTCTCCGTTGGGCTTCGATGACAGCTCGTGGAGCCGTACAACCAATGTAAACATAGGATAACTAAGCAAAAACATGTAGATTTTCACGTAGTAGGATACTTTCTTAATGAACCATAACCATTCTTTGACATTTGTTTATGAAAATGTGTAGACTTGTCAAACATGAAACGGATGAAAAACATATGCAATATCTTGAATGGACTGTGAAAGATGTGACGAATCATCACATGGCGCTGGCCTGTGGCAGAGGTACTTTGCTGGCTGGCTGATGGACGGATGGAACTCTGGGTAGGAGAGTGGGTTTTATACCTACTTACGTTTTTTTTAGAGCTACAACTTTATTTTCACGACTGATCAGTTTGTTCATCGTGTGCAGGCATCTTTTGCATTCCTTTTTGCCTATGTCCTAGTGAGCTAAGTATAGACCAGTACCTTAATTATTTATAAACTTGAATGTGATTGTGTCAAACTCATGGGAACCTGGAAAAATGTTTGAGTCATCACGGGTTCGAGACATCAGGAAATGTTATTCTTAATTTGGACACTTGGGTCTTTCAAATGAGTGCAAGACAACCAGGAATTCAACACATCCAAATTCGACACAACAAGGTTCGTCTGTATTTCAGTAATGGTTTGTTTTAAAGAGCCATATACTACAATGAAGACATCTTCCTGAACCATTGCACACACTCCAAAAATATAATATTGTCTGGTCTTATGGCAACAGCTGATTTTCCATATACATCAATATGTCAGTGAAACTTCACATTCTCTATTTCCTCCTTTAGACACCCAGGTGTCTATTAATTTTGTGCAAGACCTTGCCCCAGCATGTATTCTGTTTAATGCTGGCACAGTGGAATACAAAGGCTATGTTTGCAGGAAACGGTCCTCATGATTATAAAGAGGCCGGCGTGTATTGGAGGCCTGCGTCTTATAGAGGAAATACGGTATATGCCTTTGTAGATTTGCAAACAAGCAATGACAGACAAGGATAACAATATAACTTGTTGATGATGATCCTTTTTCTGTTGTGTTCCTCATCAATCTTAAAAGTGACAATCGATTTCATGAAGGGCACACACAAAACAACATCACCTTTCAGTAGGACTGCACGGTATTACCGGTATACTGCTATACGCTTTTAAAAAAATATGTATTGCAATATCTTTTCTGTGTACCGGTATATTGGGTAAAAACAAGATAAGTTTCGTTTTCATTTGTATCATTTAACCTACAATATATCAGAAATTCATTCAAATATCCCTTCGAAATCAATTGACGTTATCTCATCTGTAAATGGGGGAGATTGACCATGCTTACTTTAACTTTTCAATATTTACTTCAGTAGGAAGGAAATAGGTACTGCATGTAGTCAGTGTCAATCACTATGAACACATTACCTCTCTAGATATCACAATACCTACTGCAATTTAGATACCTTTATCGCATTATATTGCAGTGCAATATTTTGCTAATATTCAGCCCTTACTGAATGCCATTTCAGCATTACTGACTCTTAGTCTTACCAAGTCCGAGACTAGTGATCCATGTCTTAATGTTTTGGGGGCACAGGTGGCCCAGTTGTCTAAGGCGCCGCGATTCGCTGTGCAGAGTTGCGTCCCTTGGGCACGCCAGAAACCTATGATTGTGGGTTCGAATCCCGGTTCGCCCCGATTATTTTTCTAGGTTTGTCAGCACCATACCCGTGCTCGTGGGTTTCACCGAAGTGGTAAACATCTGAGACCTGCATCACTTCGGGCTTTCCTCCCACATTAAGCTGACACGCTGTGATATAACTGTAATACTGTTAAAAGCAGCGTTAAACCCAACTCACTCACTCACTTAATATGTTTTAAGTGATAGGCAGAAAACAAGAAACTACCGGTAAATGTATTCAAGGATTGAAGTTGTGTTTGTTGATGTTCAATGAAGACAGTGTCTCAAGTGAGCAAATTCCACCATGTCGAGCCTATGTCATTTAATGTATTGTAAACATGGTATGCAAAGTAAGGCAAAGACTAATAAACTCATGTCAATTCCTTATGCATGCTTCTTTTTACATGCCTACATGGTCTACCATTTGAAATGAATTGAGAATGTTTTAGACGTTTCTTTCTTTTTTTCTGTGTATAATTTCTGTTTTCTTTCTTTTGTTTGGTAACCTAGTAAAGTGGTTTGTCATTTAGTACGGATATTTTTAGTTTTTAGTTAACATAAACAGTATTGTGATGTATATGATGTTGTCATTTAGTTAATAAATCATTAAACTCTATCTGTTCTACTCTATTTTGTTTTGTTGCCTGAAAAGAGACTGAGGTTGTGGCGGCTTCCACAAATGTCCTTTGTTAGCTTACCCTGATGTTGTCAAGATGTCAATTAGGATTTTCATTGGTCCTCCGTCCATCCACGTGTCTCAGCACTGAACTAAGAACTCCTCTTCAGCTAAAACTAAAATCGCCATCATGGCAGTTGTGTAAAAAAGGATGTGTAAGTGTGGTTCTCACAAACTTAGGATCATTTTCGATTATAACCATGATGTGCTGATCTTGTAATGGCAAAGGGACATAACCCTGCATAGATAGTTGCAGCACAATCATCCACTTGGTAACTGATGCTTCAGGAAGTAAATACAGACTATAGGTAAATAGTAAACAATTTATTGCTCATGTATGCCAAGATACACGTCCAAATGTATCACAATAAGACATGATCACATGGTGTACAGGAGGAGACCAAGAGGCACTTAAATCTGTACCATAAGGGAAGGTGCATGATTGACTGCTTACTTGAAGGAAATGCTGACATGTTGCATGCAACGTACAACTGCATATTCTATGCACTACTAATATTGCACGGAAATATATTACTAAAATAAGATACAACAGTTGTTCATTGATCATATATAAATTTTATATATAAATCTGTTAAGGAACTGATAATTTATTATAGTGTAGTGTGGCTGTGTTCAATTTTTTTGTCGAAAATAATCAAAATTCAAAAAGTCCTTTTTTATGTCTCCTCTCACCCCACCCCCAACCCCACCCCCTTAGTTGTGATACATTTTGTGAACTCATTTTTGTTATGACACCACGACTCAATAATAAATTATCAGTCCCTAAAGAGTAAATACAATAACAAATACATTTTAAATAAATTTCTGAACAATATATAGACTAACATCTAGTCTTTGAAATGAACATATTTTACAGAAAATAAACAGTTGTTAAATTATCTTATTAAAATGGAACAAAATGGAACCAAGAAACTTTCTTCATTTTCAGAAACTTTTTTCCCGACTTGCCAACTATTATAGACTTGCATGGGCTGTTTGAATAAATGGGTTTCCGGGTCAGCATTGCTAAATAAGGTAATATCAATCATTTATTTGAAGGTGTATTTGACACATGACTAGTGATGACAATATACTGATGGCAATAAGTAGGGGAACATACTAATAGATGCATGTTTCTGATATGACATCCCATATGAACTGTCAAGATGGCTGAAAACTGTTTGACAATTTTCAAAAAGGTAGTAACAATTTATCATATTATTTTATTCATATAAAGAATTTTTGTCTAATGCAGCACTACAGCTACATCTGCATTATTCTTATAATATTAGGTTCCTTTTATGTGGCGAAGCCTAGTGGTTAAAGTGTTCGCTTGTCATGCCAAAGACCCATAGTTCAATTCCCCATATGGATACATTGTGTGAAGCCCATTTCTGGTGATC